CTTGTTCTTGTTCTTGTTCTTGTTCTTGTTCTTGTTCGTGATCTTGCTCTTGTTCTTGTTCTTCTTCTTGATTTCTTCTTCTTGTTCTTGTTCGTGTCTCCCTTGTTCTTGTTCTTCTGCTTGTGTTCTTGTTCTTTTTCTTTTAATCTTGTTCTTCTTCTTGTTCTTGTTTTTGTCCTTCTTCTTGTTCTTGTGCTTCTTCTTGTTCTTGTTCTTGTTCTTGTCCTTGTTCTTGTCCTTGTTCTTGTTCGTGATTTTGCTCTTGTTCTTGTTCTTCTTCTTGTTCTTCTTCTTGTTCTTGTTCTTGTTCGTGTTCTTGTTCTCCTTCTTGTTCTTGTTCTTGTTCTTGTTCTTGTTCTTGTTCTTGTTCGTGATCTTGCTCTGGTTCTTGTTCTTCTTCTTGTTCTTCTTATTGTTCTTGTTCTTCTTCTTGTTCTTGTTCTTGTCCTTGTTCTTGTTCCTCTTCTTGTTCAGCTTCTTGTTCTTGTCCTTGTTCTTGTTCTTGTCCTTGTTCTTGTTCTTGTCCTTGTCCTTGTCCTTGTTCTTGTTCTTGTTCTTCTTCTTGTTCTTGTTTTTGTTCTTCTTCTTGTTCTTGCTATTGTTCTTGTTCTTCTTCTTGTCCTTCTTCTTGTTCTTGTTCTTGTCCTTGTTCTTGTTTGTTCGTGATACCTAACGTGAAACGTTACCATTTCTTTAGTAAATTCAAACAGCTCATGCATTTTCACAATAAACTCATCTCGATCTGACACCCAAAAAACCTCATCTTGGATCACAATTCTATTCAAAAATCCAAATTTTAGTGCCAAAAATATTGCTCACTAATTTCTCTATTCCTGTGCATCGCAGTAAGTCATTGGAGAAGTAAATTATCGTGTCCGCAGTTAATTAAGATAACGTACCACTGAAACAAACTGTAAAATATGCCACTAATATTCACGTTCAAATAAAAATCCTCTACAAATGCATTTGCATTATTTGTTTATAAGAACAAAAAATACCTATTTTATGTAATATTAGTGCGCACTGCTATTTTTTTTCACCCCACCCCCCAGCCTTCACTACTATTAGAGAATTTCCTTTTTTTCACTAGATCATTACCTTGACTGGGCAATAATAATAGATCATGTACGAATGTCATCCCTTTCTTCCAAGTGAATCGAGTCGTTTTCCTATATCTTTATTTCGCATCTAACAAAGCGCACCCGGGTCAATCAATTAACAAACATCAATAGAGACATCACTATCATAACCGTTATCACCCAAAACAATATTGGCAAGATGATCGTTGATTTCATTTGTCGCTTGTTCTGTTCGAGCATCCGAGAGACATTTTGCTCCCTCCGGAATCGATAAGGTGGTCTTCTGATCCGTCAGTGGTTGTAGTAATTACACAAATATTGAAGGAGTGAACGATCAAATGCTTCGGCAGCTCATTCCAAGCGTTCCAAACCCATGTCAAGTAAATTTCTATCGGTGGTGGAGGGGGATTTCCTCTTTTCCTGAGAGGCCTTGATCCGGTGGTCATCCATTTTCATTATATGCTCTAATTTTTGCTTTGAAGGGAGCGTTCCAGGCAACATCTGGCGCTTGGATGTATTTGGAACATCCTCCGGGTACGAGAATCGAATCAAGCCGCAGTTCCTGCAGCTTTTTCTTTGTCTCCTCACTTTTGTGCGCCGAGAAATTGTCCCACACGAGCAATCGGTTTTTGAACAACGGAGCAACAATCTTCTGAAGGTAGGCCTTGATCGATGTCTCGTTCATTCAAATAGTTCAACTCCAGCTTGCCTTGAAATTTTGCGATAATGGCCGGATCGGGTCTCACTCGATTTAACAAAACCAAAGGGTTACACTTATAGCCATCATCGAGCGCTGTCAGCATCACTGTTATCCTCTTATCAGACGTATCCAGTCGAGAGAGGGAAACTCTCTTGGCACCTCTTTCGTTGATCGTAAGGCTGTTGGATTGAGCAAAAATATCCCAGTCTCATCGCAGGCAAAGATCTTTCTTAATTTGCTTCCTCTTTCTCAAAACTTCTTTAAATAGAGATATAATCAATAAGTTTTCTCTTTATTTTTCCTTTTTCTCTCTGTCTTCGTCTGCGCGTTGAAAGGTGATGTCTTTCCATAAAACAACTTAGCCAGCCAATCGATGCTGAAAATTTCTCGTCGTTTTTCCATCTTACTCATGCTCATTCGAGCTTGGCTTTGGATTATTTTGCGAGTCAATCGCAATTTCTTTAATAGCTTTTCTCGGATCCAATTGACAAGCTCGTTGTAGAAAGCTGCGTCCTTCAATTTCCGGCCACCACCTTCAAGGCGCTTCAATTGTTTTCCTTTTTGTTTCACAAGATCGTCCTTTTGCTTACACCACTGGAGAACATTTTGCCGATGAACACCGAATCTTCTAGCAGCGGCTGATTTGTCTTTTCCACAAAAGCGACAACCATAAGCTTGGTCTCGACGTTAAAACAGCGTTTTTTCTCTGATCCCATCTCGGATGGGTTCACTTTGCGTTTTCGAGAAGGTTCCTCATCAGGCTCCTCTTCGCCAGTTGCCAATATGTTGTCAGCAATGTCGGTTTCATTTGCACCCAAGTTTATTTCATCTTCAGGCACGAGAACATCCTCTTTGTGTCGAGCGTTCCATTCGAGCATCCTTTTCGAATTGATAGTGTTGCTTTGGTGCGAAATTCGCCGTCGAGTTCCATTTCTAAAAAATCAAACTTTGAAAAGGATAAGAAAATGCTTGTAAATCAATAAAAGAAGAGTACTTATGGGTTATAGCCACCGCATATTTTTCCATCATAAAAATATGTCAATTTTAGTACAAGTAGATTTATTTATGGGCAAACTATGTTTAAACCATACTTCTAAATAAAATGATAGCAGATAAAGATGAAGGTAAACTAAGAACTAAGTTTTAGCCTTTGTTTAGCTTAAATCTGCGGTGGGTAAAACCCATAAGTACCAGAAGAAGTAGTAGCAATATGTCAAGAAGCTAATTACGAGCACAATATGTTAGTCAGTACTAAATAAATTTAGCTACCAGTATGCTTTTCAACAGAAAAAAGCCAAAATGAACAACAACAAAGCAAATTTTAGCAGGGTGCACTACTACTTTTTCAACCCCCCTCCTGCCTGCACTACTATGACAGACTGCACTACTATTACAGATTTATCAGGAATTATCAGGAAATATCGCAACAACAAGGAAAACCAAATTTATATTTCAAATTAACAATCTCTATTCGTTGTTCTGCGTGTCCCAGAATAATGGCTCGTATGCTCGGAGGAGAGCCTAAAAACATAATCTGACCTGTGGGTCCACTTCTTTAATCTTTTCGACGGACGGTAACAATTTGCATTTGTTTAAAGCTGCAAGACAGTTCTTGTATTTGCACAGGCCCACCAGCTAATTTTCAACGAAAAAGAGTTTCATGATTTTCACGGTCTAAACATTGTTAATAAGCCAATAAACTACCCGCTTCATACCTTGATGCCTCGATCGAGTAAACATGATGGTAGAGAAGGTGGATTCTTTCTTTGCAAAGGCACATATGTGGACGCTTCCTGCTAGGATTGATCTAATTAATAGCTAAACTAAAACCAACACACATTTTTGACTGCTCGTGGATCAAATATTTCATCGTCATGGTTGGAAACGTGGTGAAACGGCGCGAGGGTCGTAGACCCCTTCCGTTTTTTTCCCAGCTTTTTTGCCCTAAAAACATATTCTAAGAACCATTAGCTTAAAAGAACCTGTATTCGTTCAACCAAACTTTTTTGTCCCTTCTGTTTTTTCCCCTCCTCCAGTGTCCTTCTTCACGATGACTTGCATTTTCGCTAATTTGCACCAAATTTATCGAATGTCCTGCCGAGTCAGGGCTCAGGGCTGCTGTTACTTTCGGTTGAGGCACAATTCGCCTTCTAGCTCTTAATCGTTTTGCGTGAAGGAGTTGCAAGAATTTTCGGAACTTACCTTGGTAAATGATAAAACTCTTTAATAGTAGTGCGCACTACTATTAGAGAGAATACGGTATACACACTCACCTGTTTTGTTGTGAGCACTTTCCCGTATGTTTCCCATTTGCATACAAACTCTTCCATCGACTCGATGTCGACCGTGTCACTCTCTGCTGAGCTCTCTGGATCTTCCTCCGGTGTCCTTTTCCTTTAATTACATTGTGTGTCTTTCATTCATTTTTCGATTTGTAAAGCAAATTCATTTTTTTCTGAAACTTCTCTACACGAGTGCCGTTCTTTTTGTGCAATCTATCGTCAACTTTTGGCAAATCTCAAATCCGGTGGAAGGCCGACGACAAATGCGGGAGCAGAGGAAACTGAAAATAGGGAAAAATTGAAAAGATCTTACCTGGAAAAATTGGTGGAATGTTATTGGCACCCAACCTTTCTCTAATCAAATCCAGGCGATCCCTTCGAACCATGACTGAAAAAGTCATCCTAAATTTGCTGAATAAGTCTAGGTTTCTGAGTGGATAGGAGCCCTGGAAACAAAATAAACCCACTTTCTTTGATTTAACGTTTCATTTAGCATTTACCATAAGATTCTTGTCTAAAAATTGCAGAAAAACAGCTAAAAACGGCTAACAACCAACCAAAATTTGATCCTTGCGATGTTGATGAAAGATGTTGATTTAAATGTTGATTCAACAAAGGCGACGCGAGATTGTTGAACGCCCAAGTTGAAGCTTTAACTTTACCTAGGTTTACCAAGCCAGTCTAGGCAAAGTTGTCTTCTAGCTGGCAAACTTGTCGAAAAAGGAAAGCGTAAGACACACAATGTAATTAAAGGAAAAGGAGAGAGCGGACACCGGAGGAAGATCCAGAGAGCTCAGCAGAGAGTGACACGGTCGACATCGAGTAGAGAATAACAAGTAGAGATTCAAATTTTCTTTTAGACTTACTATTCTGAGCAGCAGCTAGAGCTTGTTGAAGTAAAAGAGCTTCTAGACTTCTCGGTTTTGGAACATTAGGCTAACGACACAACAAAACGGCTAATGACCAACCAAAATTCGATCGTTGCGATGTTGATGAAAGATGTTGATTTAAATGTTGATTCAACAAAACGACGCGAGATTGTTGAATGCCCAAGTTGAAGAATCTGGGAACAGATTTTACAATAAAAGATTTTAGCTTTAGATAGATTTGTTATAGTTTGAGTGAACGAAAGTATGGTTGTGTCTGTCAGCTCCAGCTGTTTGTCTGTTGTCTGTCTGTTGTCACTCAGCTCTCTCAGCTCTCTCAGCTCTCTCAGCTCTCTCTCAGCTGTCAGCTATCAGCAGTCTGTCTGTTGTCTCTCTGTTGTCACTCACCTCTCTCAGCTCTCTCTTTGTCTGGTTTTCTTACTCTAATCTATACTAAGTACTTTTTAAACTTTTAAACCTTTCTTGTAACGTTTATCTTAATCTTGTATCTTATCTTGTAACTGTCATATAAAAGCCAATATTTAGAGGAATCCAGAATCATTAAATCTAGAACTCATCGAAAACCAGTTTTTCAGCTTTCACCTGTATCTTTCAAAACTTTATTAGACGTTTCTTCGTCCAGAATCATCAGATCTACGATTGCACAATTAAAAAAGAGAGCGAGTCACTCGAAAAAGCCCAAAAAGACTATTACTAGATACTGGACCAAAAAGACAATTACTAGATACTGGACCTTTTTGACCTAGTTCTAATTCTTTCAAAGTCAAATTTGTACTTTAAATCTCAACTACCTGAGTGTGGAGACGTCGTTGAGCGGTAAATCTTGTCCTTGTGAATTTTCGGATGGTGATACGTCGAGGTTGACGTGTTTATACGCGTGCATATCGAAGAATGGCATATTGAATTGGTTGGCTGTTGAATTGGCCAGGTGAGATAGGGGTGATCACCGGTCTGAATAAAGGATGATGACAGTTTGTTGACGGTTCTCACCGCTGGCTAAGAGCTTTGCACCTAATTATATTGCCTTATAGGGTATAGGACTCGAACTCTCGAGGTGCATACGCCCATCAGACGCGTGCACTAACCACTACATCAAGACTGAAGACAGCCCAAAACAATGCATGATCCAAGTCTTGTGATAGAGAAGCGTTTGCAAAAAACTAATTAGAGATTCGGAATCAAAAAAACTGCATCGAAAAGCTTCTAGGGGCGACCGGCTCGTTTCTGGTTAGTTTTTTCTTAATTTGAGAAAAATGAAGATCTAGTGAGGGATTTGAGCGTTGAGTTTTGGTCGTTTGACAGCCGTTTGTTTGTTTGACAGCCGTCAAATAGTTAAACCAAGCCAGTCTAGGCAAAACTGTCTTCTAGCTTTACCAAGCCAGTCTAGGCAAAGTTGTCTTCTAGCTGGCAAAGCTGTCGAAAAAGGAAAGCGTAAGACACACAATGTAATTAAAGGAAAAGGAGAGAGCGGACACCGGAGGAAGATCCAGAGAGCTCAGCAGAGGGTGACACAGTCGACATCGAGTAGAGACAATAACAAGTAGAGAACAATAACAAGTAGAAATTCAAATTTTCTTTTAGACTTACTATTCTGAGCAGCAGCTAGAGCTTGTTGAAGTAAAAGAGCTTCTAGACTTCTCGGTTTTGAAACATTAGGCTAACGACACAACAAAACGGCTAATGACCAACCAAAATTCGATCCTTGCTATGTTGATGAAAGATGTTGATTTAAATGTTGATTCAACAAAACCACGCGAGATTGTTAAATGCCCAAGTTGAAGAAGAATCTGGGAACAGATTTTACAATAAAAGATTTTAGTTTTAGATAGACAGCAACCTGACATTGGTGTGGTTTCTCTCCAGTGTGGCCTCTTGCGTGAACCACCAACATGTAGTTAACTTCGAAGGGCTTCTTTTTTCTAAAGGCCACTTGAAACTTTTAGAGTTATTAGGTTGTTGAAAAGGAAAGATAAAAAGCAAGGAAAGGCTTATTCACCTAATATTTGAGAACTTCCTCTTTACAATCTTCCCACTCACAAATGTGCTCAATACTTGGATTGACATGAATCGTTTTAACGTGATCATAGAAGGGCTGAATTGGGACGATTTTTGGGAATAATAACTATACACACTCACCTGTTTGGTTGTGACCTTTTTTCCGCATGTTTCCCATTTGCATACAAACTCTTCCATCGACTCGATGTCGACTGTGTCACGCTCTGCTGAGCTCTCTGGATCTTCCTCCGGTGTCCGCTCTCTCCTTTTCCTTTAATTACATTGTGTGTCTTTTTCGTTTTTCATTCATTTTTCGATTTTCAAAGCAAATTCATGTTTTTCTAGAACTTACTTTACACGAGTGCCGTTCTTTTTGTGTAATCTATCGTCAACTTTTGGCAAATCTCTTTTCCGAGAACGTCCTGAAATTTGTATTATCCAGCGATTTTGATTTTGGATTAGTACCACGAAGTTTCGGATCGGCTGAAGTTGTTGGAGAATTATTACCTGAAAGCACCTGTACCTGAAAAGAATCATAAATTAGCTTTAAAAACAATCCACCGGTGGAAGGGCGACAACAAATGCGGGAGCAGTGGAGACTGAAAATAGCTATTGAATGGGAAAATTGAAAAGATAATCCGGTATCTATCCCTAAGATTCTTGCCTACATGAGGTATAAAGTACGAATTAGTTCACCTGGTTGATGTTGTTGTGATTGATGTGTTTGTTGATGATAATGTTGCTCTTGGGTTGTTTGTTGCTGAGCTTGATGTGAAGGACCCAACACGGACTGTGAAAGGCCGAGGAGAGCACCTAGAATAAAGAAATAAAGAAAAACTAAAGAGATATTCAGAATAAGCTATTTAGCTATTTTGCAAAAAAGACTTTTGAATTACTTTTGAATGGCATTACTTTTGTGGACTATTGTATTTCTTATAATAACAAGTAGAAATTCAAATTTTCTTTTAGACTTACTATTCTGAGCAGCAGCTAGAGCTTGTTGAAGTAAAAGAGCTTCTAGACTTCTCGGTTTTGAAACATTAGGCCAACGACACAACAAAACGGCTAATGACCAACCAAAATTCGATCCTTGCGATGTTGATGAAAGATGTTGATTTAGATGTTGATTCAACAAAACGACGCGAGATTGTTGAATGCCCAAGTTGAAGAAGAATCTGGGAACAGATTTTACAATAAAAGATTTTAGTTTTAGATAGATTTGTTATGGTTTGAGTGAACGAAAGTATAGTTTTCATGGAAACTTGTTCAAATCAATCTTACAATCATTACATCATCAATTACAATCATTAGATCACCAATTAATCGCTATTCAGCTAAATCGACATAAATCTAGCCAATCAAGTATTAAAATTATCGAAATATAAAATGCAATTTTCATGCAAGAATCCGGAGGCGATTCTTTGTTACCAGGCGCAGCTTGAGAAAGAAAAAAGAACAATCCTCTTAACCGGCAGCTTCATCATACATTTCAAGAAAATTTTGACAAAATCCCGGTGAACTCCTGGGGCAGCGCTACAAATTGTGGCGAACGGGAGCTTGCTTTGTTGCAAAAAGTTATCGACTCAAATTCCTCTTGAATGCCTGGGGACCTTTCGCAAGTGTCACATACTTACACGCTCGGAAAGCGCGCTCACCTCAGAATATTCTGAAAAAAAACTTTTGAGCTGGGGGACCACTTTTTCCTTCAAAACTCATGTGTGGTGGGCATCTGCCGGACCCGCATCACACATAAAATTACCTCAAAAAATCAAAAAAATTCGAAGCACTTTTTCAGGATATTCTGAGGTTGAGCAGAATCCTCGTGATCATAAAATTCCGGGCAAGAAATATGACCTGATGACCTGATGTTGGGCCTGATGCTGGGTCTGCTGCAATAAATATAAGCTGCTAACCTGCTTGACAGTGAGAACTTTGTCAGAAATTATCACTGATGACTTGGATGAAGTAACTTGTAAATGATGTTTTAAAAATTGATTACGTATTATGTTTAATACTAAAAGCAACCAACATTTCATGCGAGACTGAATGCTTGTTGCACCAATAAGGAATGTCGCGGTCGCAACAACGAAATCACGCTTCTGCTTCACAGAATTGTGCAATAATTTATGGTATTAGACCGGCCGTTAATGTATGTCAAAGTTTTAAGCCTACAAGTTTGCGACTGCGACATTCCTTATTGGTTATAATAATTAGGTTTTTTCTGCACGCACGATTAAAGCTCAAATTTCTTGGTGTTGGGTTGTCCAATTAAAACAGTTTTTGTACCAATCGATAGGGAAAGACCTGGCGATACTACTCCGCCCCCGGATACTCCACAAGGACCCGATTTTCTAAAAAAATCAATTTTAAAGGAATCCCATTCCTTTAAAATTGATTTTTTTAGAAAATCGGGCGTGGGCGTGGGCAGGGCGTGGAAAGGCAGACGCCGTCTCGAGTACGGTAGTTTAGGTGTATTTTAGAATTTAGGCTTGGAAAGTTGCCTATCCGTAGTTGAACTGTGGGAATTGCGGGTTTTACTCTTTTAGGATTTGTTGCTAGTGAAAAGGTATGCAATAATCCGCTTTTTGACCAGCTTTTGCTTAATAATCAGCTTTTTGACCAAAGAGACCAAAGTGTTTAAAAAAATTTGTTACCGTAAATTTCTTGTAAAACATTTACGAGCTGTTTATCGGTCCTTTGTGAAAATTGATTGAAATGTTTTTGATTTATTTTGCCATTATGTTAAGTCGTGCTTTTTGATGATTTTATATAATTTTTATTATTCTTAGATCATGGAGAGTAAGACAATGGTTTTGGAAACTAAAGGGTGACAGAAGCTTGAAGACAAAGAAAAGAATTGAATGGATAAGTATAGAGTGTGTTCCTCTTATTTAATGTTTAATGTTTAATTCCATTTCCAAAAACTTTTGTAGTCAAAACCTTGCTTTATCTCGTTGGTAGACCAAGGTTTCATGACTGAGCCTTGTGATTCCTCAAGAGGAACACACTTTATTCAAATATCTCCAAGTACTATACCAAATACAAAAATGATTTAAATCAACAAATGTGAATTGCTAAAACCAAGTTATAAGAAAATGGAAAAAGGAAAAAGTTAAAACAAACAAACATTACTTTTTGGTAAATTTTGGCCGAAATGGTAAACCATAAAGTAATGTTTTTCTCAACCTGGTTCTGAAGCTTCATTGATGATTCTTGAAACACATGAAAAGAATTTAGTACATATATTAGATAAAAGTAGAGTCACAACAACCAGATGTTTGAAATGGTCCAACCAGGTCCAAAATATTGTTACCGTAAATTTATCGCAGCGCCGATTCCGTGACCTTAAAGTTAAATCCGTTATAGATCCGGTCCACCCAGCTTGCCGTAATGTGTTCGATATGCAAACAGTTCACAAGTTTCACTTTTTTTAGCAAAACTTTGAGCGCGGCATCGACGATCTTGTCCTCTTCCAATTGCAATAGCCATCATTAAAGTTCAAATAGTGAATGCTTGCGACGTTTCCTAGAGGTAAAATAGAGGTAGAATCTTGTTGTAAAAGATCGAATTCGTGAGAAGATTCATTCTTCGTGACAGTAGCAATAAAAGAATTTTCAAAAAAATTGAAATCCACTTTATCAGCTCGTTTCCCGAATAGACCGTTAGACAAGACTTTACGGCGAAGATAATGATTGGTTTTTAAGAGTTGTAGATTCTCTTTTGGACCCGGTTTGTCCAATATTAGTTCTATCAAGTCATTCGGGCTCGTTGAGAAAGAAATTCGTACTTTTGGCATTATTCATTATTCAGAATTGAATGGATAGATAAGGTATAGAATCGTTTTCTAAAAAGCACTAATCTCCAAAATATTTCCAGGTTCAAGACCTTGGTTTACAACTAAAAAGATTTTAGCACATAGATTAGATAAAACAAGCATCACTTCGTCTTTAGTTGTTGAGCCAGTTGAGCCCGTCGGCGAGGAGTCTGATGAATAGTCGTTCTCTTCATGCCACTCGATTTGGCCAAGGACAACATAGGACAAATTCGATCAGCAATTCTATGATGAACGATCAGAAAAGACGCGAAAGCGTCCCGCGTCACATCCCGTTATTTGATTATTAGAATAAGAATCATGAGATTATGAGAAATCATGATTATGAGCACATAATTCTGAGAAATCAACTTCTTTCATTTTACTACGTGGTCGTGCATTGTCACTTCCGCTGGTAATGAAATTATTGTGTGCTTTGCCACAACCAATTATTCAATGCAATAGTTTCCTTGTAGTATTGCTGATTTTGCATTTGCACTGTATCTTTTCTTTTTCTCCACCCCTTTCTCTTCTTCGGAACCCTCACTATCTTCCAAAACCACTCCAAAACTGCGAGACACATCCGGCACTCATTTCTCATAATCTCATGATTCTTATTCTAATAATCAAATAACGGGATGTGAGCGCGGGATGTGTCTAGCTTTCTTTTCTCTTTTATCCTTCAAGCTTTCTACTTTCGATTTTTTAAGATTCGTACCCAAAAAGCAAGGGCGAAAGATATAATTAATACTTTATGAATCTGAATCTTGATATTTTTACCCCTCTTCGGATGGGAACGCCCCCTTTCAATTCTTTTGAGTACTAATGATAGGGAAAGCCTCAAAAAATTATACTCTTGGAGTCACGAAATCGAAAGTAAAAAGCTTGAAGAATAAAAGAGAAAAGAAAGTTAGACATATCCCGCGTCACATCCCGTTATTTGACTAATAGAATAAGAATCATGAGATTATGAGAAATCATGATTATGAGCACATGATTCTGCGAAATCAACTTCTTTCATTTTACTACGTGGTCGTGCATTGTCACTTCCGCTGGTAATGAAATTATTGTGTGCTTTGCCACAACCAATTATTCAATGAAATAGCTTCCTTTGTAGTATTGCTGATTTTGCATATACTCTGTATCTTTTCTTTTTCTCCACCCCTTTCTCTTCTTCGGAACCCTCACTATCTTCCAAAACCACTCCAAAACTGCGAGACACATCCGGCACTCATTTCTCATAATCTCATGATTCTTATTCTAATAATCAAATAACGGGATGTGAGCGCGGGATGTGTCTAGCTTTCTTTTTTCTTTTATTCTTCAAGCTTTCTACTTTCGGTTTTTTAAGATTCGTATCCAAAAAGAAAGGGCGAAAGATAGAATTATACTTTCTGAATCTGAATCTTGATATTTTTATCCCTCTTCGGAGTGTTTTTGTTGGGAACGCCCTCTTTCAATTCTTTTGAGTACTAATGATAGGGAAAGCCTCAAAGAATTATACTTTTGGAGGCGAATTTTAATTTAAATAGCGGCATAGCAGGAGTGGGTCAGGATAAAAAGATAGAGAAAGAGATAGAGAAAGAGACGCAAGGCCTATTTATCAATTCATCTTTATTAGCCGCCATATTTTCCCTTTGGGGAAATTTATTCATCTATTTTATATTCATCTTGAAGCCTATTTATTTTGGCGTAGGTTTAATGAGGCGTAGCTAAAAGGGTTGTTATCAGGTGTGCCTGAGGAACGATTCGTGATGGGGACCTTTAAAGAAAGTATCGGCCGACTGGCATCGACGCTGCCACTTTCCATCGTATCTTATGAAATTTATGAAATCGAATGCTTTTTTCAGGCTTGGGCCAGGGACGTGGCGATGGAGTTGGGAGGATGGAATCGACCTGCAGGTGAAATGGATGGACTTTTGGGGACCAGTGAAGCGATTGCTCCGGATTTGAAGTAAGAGTTTAAGGCCATACACTTACCCTTTTAATACTTGCATAGCAATAGTTCATCAAAGAGCCTGGAAGAAGATGTGGCAATAAGTTCATGGGTCGAGGAAAAATGCAACATAAATGTATCGCTTCGGGCGCAGGTTTGTTTAAAGCATGAAGAGACGATATGTTAAGACACTGCGCTCTATTTCTATCGTTGGTATTTGGTGAAATCCTTCTCTCGAGTGCCAATCTTGATGCTTAGAGCTTATTCCAATTCTTTCTGAAAAGTTTTAATTTTAGAGCTTAAAGGTCTTCAAGTTTAGGCCTTTAGCTCCATTTTTTTCTTGATATAAAATTTGTTGGCCAAAATCCTAGCCAGGAACATGAGTTTCTCAAAAGTTTTTCCTGTCATTAGCACTCTAAAAGAATAATAAAGGAGCGTTCCCATGGAGAAAATACTGGAAGAGGGGTAAAAATATCAAGATTCAGATTCGGAAATTATCAGCCCTTCCTTTTTGGAGGCGATTTTTACTTTAAAGAAGAGCTTCAAAGCTTTAACGAGGTCAAAATGAAGAGTTAATGAGATTGACCAGGCCTATTTTTCCATTGACCCTTATTAGCTGCAAAATTTTTCTTTTACGAAATTAATTTAATTTAACAATCCGGCGATGAAAAGGATGAGTTTAATTCATAGACATACGAACGAACAAAAGGAATATAGAATTCATACCAACAAAAGGAATATAGAAACCAAATATAATATTTCATATGCGTATCAATTTCTAAATTTTCGGCAGTAGAAAACGCTATAAAGCGGCTTACTAAAATGCTCAAATAAAGAAGGGAAATGATGATGAGATCGGCATTTTACTTTATTAGTTATTGTTAGTTATGTATGTTATGTAGGCACCGAAACCAGAACTAGGGTTTGATGGTTTTTTTGATCGATTCTAGAGCTAGGGCTAGGTAATGATTGTAAACATTAGACAGGCGTCGGGATATATTTTAATTTTTCGACTTTTTCGAATTTTAGGTTGAGGAGCGAGCTGGGATGGGGACCTTTAAAGAAAGTATCGGCCGACTTGCATCAGCCCTTCCACTTCCCATCGTATTCTCGATTTCATGAAATTCATAAAACCAAAAATTTTTAGGCTTGGGCAAGAGACGTGGCGATGGAGCTGGGAGGATGGAATAGACCCGCAGGCAAAATAGATGGACTGGGAGAGGCTATGACAAAAAGTACTTTAATCGAGGAAAGCAACCCAAAGGCATCATTCAAGATTTGTTAAAGAATGAGGGTACAATCTTCAGACCTGCGAGTCGAATCGGAAAATTGAGTTAACCGAAGGCGGCCTAAGGAAGGCGAAATTGGCTCTTAAAGGGAGCCTACCAGACTCGCCAGATGTGGAGCTCTTGAAAGACCTGAGTGAAAATCGATCCGATTCTTTGCTTGTCGAATTGCGAAAGGTATACCTATCGCAAATTTCTAACTTCAACTTCATCTAGCAATCGGGTCAACAACTTGGGATGGCAATTGGTAAAAGAGGCCGGGGAGTGCTTGTAACGGGGCTACAGCCGGGAAGTGCGGCTGCGGAAAAGCTAGAAGTGCACGATAGAATCATGGCCGTCAATGCGATTAAAGTCACTGATCAGGCAAGCGATTTTGAATGCAAACGGTTAATTCCATTATTTAGCGTCTTGCAGAAGAACTTGTGAAGAACTCAGGGGAACGTCTTTTCCTACAGATTGCTCGGCCTCAGGAGAGGCGACTGCGATATTTTTCCGCCTTTTCCCCAAAAACATTAGTGTTCGAAAAAATTCCATTGTCCTAGTTCTCAAAATTGGAGTTTGGGTACAATGCGAGCTTTTTCCCTTATCTGGTCTAACCTTCCCTTTTTTGCTTTTCATTTTCAATCTTGCTTTTTTTTGGTTAATTAATTTGAATACTTCTCTGCATAAATTTATTTGTAAAAAGACGTTTAAAGACAAAAGCGTTTTCTACGCAAATTTACGCTAAAGTAGAACTATCCGAAAAAGTGAAACCATTTGATTGTCTGTAGCTCGAGTCATAGAAATGAAATCATTCAAGGTTGTTTTATTGAAAATAAAAAATAAAAACTCCTTGGCTTTTTGAGGAAAAAAGAAAAACATATTAACGTTGGAAAATTGTAAAGTTTCTAACGCGTACAGGTAGCCTTTTCAGGCAAAAACAATTCAAAGCCAACCATCTTGAGATGGTTATTTGAATAACCTTGACATATATTTGAATGATTGGCTTGAGCCAATCATTCAATTTTTTTTCAGCAAGTTCATCCTACGTATTTATTTGCATTCTGACCAAAATTTCATTAGCATCAAAGTAAAAGAGAAATTATCTTTGTGTTTAGCAAGAATTGGATAGTTTTTGCCGAAATTTAGCTAGACTGGTGACTAGCTAGGTGGAGTAGCTAGACTAGCTAGGTGGAGTTCAAAAGCCAATTCTTTAACAACCACTGCATCTGAACCAATTTTGGTGAAAAAGTGAAAAAAGAAAGCAAGTCGAGTAAGTTAGCTATTTGGATATGTTATTTAAACAAACTTGAACACTTTTTCACAAGAAGCTTTTTGCTATCTAAAACCTTTTGACAAAAAATGTCACATTTAACTTGAACCTGCTTTTTCCCTTTTTACATTTTTTGATTGCATTCTTTTGCTAGGAAGACTTGCCAAGAAATGTCATAATTGGCTACGACATATATATGCTTTATTCAGTTGAATAGCGACAAAACAAAATCACAATAATTCTTTTCCTATTTTACTTTCATTATGAAAATGGTATAGGAACAAATCAGTGATTAAATAAACCCAACAAAGAAGCCTAAAACAAAAAACAAAGAAAACGGGGGTTCACATTTTAAAAATATCACATATGGCTTCCTCTTGTAGAGCGAATAGTTTTAGCGTTTTAGCGAATCGCGGAACTTGAACCACTCACGCTTTTGCCGAATCCGGTTTCAGTTCTCATCACACAAGAAACCGAACCAACCGATCAACGTCTCCATTCCTGAAATAAGAACGTTTGAGCACATTAATAACAGCCTTATTTCAATTTTGTTCACCTAATGTGTTGAATTAATACCTATCTTTCTTCTAACAACATTGAATTTAAAATTTACCGGCACATATATCGTCCAGTGTTAATGTAGTGGTTTGCTTAGTTTTTGCCTTTTAGTCCAAATTTGGCGTGTCGGCGAAATCTCGAAAATCGTCGAAATTCTGAATCTACGCATACGAGCGCCATAAGAGCGCCTAATGACAATGACGCCTAATGAGTCTGCTAGGCATATAAAAATGCTATCTTTTCTACCCCATAAAATGCTATTAGACTGAAATCTTTAGGCAAAACATACCATTTCTTTCTTGGCTCTTCCTCCTGATTGCAAATTCTTTCCATCATTCTTGGCCACGTTCCTCGGGGTCGAGATGCGACTGGTCGAAGCTTTGGGTCTCTGCAAATAATAGCATAAACTTAAATTGAGTCTCAGTACTTTTAAGTTGCTTAAAAACCACCTTAACCTCCTTGCCAGATGATGAAAACACGTCTATTGCACTCAAACCCTGCCATGCCCTTTTCCGCACCGGTCGTCCCCCTAATGTCGAGAAATGGCGAGAATCAAGTCGAGCGCTTTTATGTTCCCTAAAAGTTTTATTATTTAGAAATTAAAACAGCTTGCGCGCCTCATCACGCAGTTTCAGCTCTTGCTTCTCTTCTTCCAAAAACATCCTCCTACATCAGGAATCTTTTCCTTCGACGTAGCCCGACGTAGCCGTCCGTTAACCAAACATTGATTGGAGAGGTTGGAATTAGGGGACAAAGCTCAATGCTGGGCTCATCGATTCCGAAATTTTTGTCTTTGTTGCATTGAGCTGATGAAATGGTGGAGGCACGCGTTTCTTCTTAAAAATGGAAGCGTTTTGGAGTGATTGTTGCTGGTGTGACGAAAGCAAACTATCGAATTCTAAAAAGAAAGATTAAACGAAAAAAAAGTAAGATGATTTCATCTGATAGCTTTGCAAGTTAAAATCCTAAAACTTCAAGTTAAATCCTATAATCCGAGATTCAAAGGAACCGTATTGGAACCGCATTGGAAACGTATTTCCAATACGGTTCCTAATACGGCCCTTGTTCCGGCTATTTTATCCAATACGACTCTGGAATTCCAATATTAATTGTTTCGCTAAAGTTTTTTGGAATATGAAAATAGAGGTTTTTGACAACTGAAAACCAAAAACTATTTGGCGATTTGCCTCTTTGCAAAAAAGTTATTACACTTTGAAGTTTGCTCTATTGTTTAGATCTAGGCTCCCTTTAAGAACCTTAGGCCCCTTCGGTTGACTCAATTTTCCGATTCGACACGCAGGTCTGAAGATTGTACCTTCATTCTTTAACAAATCTTGAATGATGATGAATATAAAATATAAAATAGATGAATGATGAATGATGAACAAGATGAATATAAAATAGATAAATAAATTTCCCCGAGGGAAAATATGGCAGCTAATAAAGAGGGATTGGTAAATAGGCCTTGCGTCTCTTTCTCTATCTATTTCTCTATCTCTTTATCCTGACCCACTTCTGCTAGCCGCTCTTTAAATTAAAATTCGTCTCCCAAAGTATAATTTTTTTGAGGCTTTCCCTATCATTAGTACTCAAAAGAATTGAAAGGGGGCGTTCCCATCCGAAGAGGGATAAAAATATCAATATTCAGATTCATAAAGTATTAATTCTATCTTTCGCCCTTTCTTTTTGGGTACGAATCTTAAAAAATCGAAAGTAGAAAGCTTGAAGGATAAAAGAAAAAAGAAAGCTAGACACATCCCGCGCTCACATCCCGTTATTTGATTATTAGAATAAGAATCATGAGATTATGAGAAATGAGTGCCGGATGTGTCTCGCAGTTTTGGAGTTTTGGTGAGCTCTAAAATTAAAACTTTTCAGAAAGAATTGGAATAAGCTCTAAGCATCAAGATTGGCACTCGAGAGAAGGATTTCACCAAATACCAACGATGAGAAATAGAGCGCAAGTGTCTTAACATATCGTCTCTTCATGCTTTAAACAAACCTGCGCCCGAAGCGATACATTTATGTTGCATTTTTCCTCGACCCATGAACTTATTGCCACATCTTCTTCCAGGCTCTTTGATGAACTATTGCTATGCAAGTATTAAAAGGGTAAGTGTATGGCCTTAAACTCTTACTTCAAATCCGGAGCAATCGCTTCACTGGTCCCCAAAAGTCCATCCATTTCACCTGCAGGTCGATTCCATCCTCCCAACTCCATCGCCACGTCCCTGGCCCAAGCCTGAAAAAAGCATTCGATTTCATAAATTTCATAAGATACGATGGAAAGTGGCAGCGTCGATGCCAGTCGGCCGATACTTTCTTTAAAGGTCCCCATCACGAATCGTTCCTCAGGCACACCTGATAACAACCCTTTTAGCTACGCCTCATTAAACCTACGCCAAAATAAAATAGGCTTCAAGATGAATATAAAATAGATGAATAAAAATTTCCCCAAGGGGAGAATATGGCGGCTAATAAAGATGAATTGATAAATAGGCCTTGCGTCTCTTTCTCTATCTCTTTCTCTATCTTTTATCCTGACCCACTCCTGCTATGCCGCTATTTAAATTAAAAATTCGCCTCAAAAGTATAATTCTTTGAGGCTTTCCCTATCATTAGTACTCAAAAAGAATTGAAGAGGGCGTTCCCAACAAAAACACTCCGAAGAGGGATAAAAATATCAAGATTCAGATTCAGAAAGTATAATTCTATCTTTCGCCCTTTCTTTTTGGATACGAATCTTAAAAACCGAAAGTAGAAAGCTTGAAGAATAAAAGAAAAAGAAAGCTAGACACATCCCGCGCTCACATCCGTTATTTGATTATTAGAATAAGAATCATGAGATTATGAGAAATGAGTGCCGGATGTGTCTCACGTATTGGAGTGGTTTTGGAAGATAGTGAGGGTTCCGAAGAAGAGAAGGGGGTGGAGAAAAGAAAAGATACAGAGTATATGCAAAATCAGCAATACTACAAAGGAAGCTATTTCATTGAATAATTGGTTGTGGCAAAGCACACAATAATTTCATTACCAGCGGAAGTGACAATGCACGACCACGTAGTATAAAATGAAGAAGTTGATTTCGCAGAATCATGTGCTCATAATCATGATTTCTCATAATCTCATGATTCTTATTCTATTAGTCAAATAACGAGGATGTGACGCGGGATATGTCTAACTTTCTTTTCTCTTTTATTCTTCAAGCTTTTTACTTTCGATTTCGTGACTCAAGAGTATAATTTTTGAGGCTTTCCCTATCATTAGTACTCAAAAGAATTGAAGGGGCGTTCCCATCCGAAGGGGGTAAAAATATCAAGATTCAGATTCATAAAGTATTAATTATATCTTTCGCCCTTGCTTTTGGGTACGAATCTTAAAAAATCGAAAGTAGAAAGCTTGAAGGATAAAGAGAAAGAAAGCTAGACACATCCCGCGCTCACATCCGTTATTTGATTATTAGAATAAGAATCGTGAAGTTATGAGAAATGAGTGCGGATGTGTCTCACGCAGTTTGGAGTGGTTTTGGAAGATAGTGAGGGTTCCGAGAAGAAGAGAGAAGGGGTGGAGAAAAAGAAAAGATACAGTGCAAATGCAAAATCAGCAATACTACAAGGAAACTATTGCATTGAATAATTGGTTGTGGCAAAGCACACAATAATTTCATTACCAGCGGAAGTGACAATGCACGACCACGTAGTAAAATGAAGGAAGTTGATTTCTCAGAATCATGTGCTCATAATCATGATTTCTCATAATCTCATGATTCTTATTCTAATAGTCAAATAACGCGATGTGATGCGGGACGCTTTCGCGTCTTTTCTGATCGTTCATCATAGAATTGCTGATCGAAAAAGAATCATCCTCTTGTTCTTGTTCTTGTTCATGTTCTTGTTTTTGTTCTTGTTCTGGTTCTTGTTCTTGTTCTTGTTCTTCTTCTTGTTCTTGTTCTTGTTCTTCTTCTTGTTTTGTTCTTCTTCTTGTTCTTGTTCGTGTTCTTCTTCTGGTTCTTGTTCTTGTTCTTGTTCTTGTTCTTGTTCTTGTTCTTGTTCTGGTTCTTGTTCTTGTTCTTGTTCTTGTTCTTGTTCTTGTTCTTGTTCTTGTTCTTGTTCTTGTTCTTGTTCTTGTTCTTGTTCTTCTTCTTGTTTTGTTCTTCTTCTTGGTCTTGTTCTTGTTCTTCTTCTTGTTTTGTTCTTCTTCTTCTTCTTGTTCTTGTTCTTGTTCTTGTTCTTGTTCTTGTTCTTGTTCTTCTTCTTGTTTTGTTCTTCTTCTTGTTCTTGTTCTTGTTCTTGTTCTTGTTCTTGTTCTTGTTCTTGTTCTTGTTCTTGTTCTTGTTCTTGTTCTTCTTCTTGTTCTTGTCCTTGTTCTTCTTCGTGTTCTTGTTCTTGTTCATGTTCAAGTTCTTGTTCTTGTTGTGTCCTGCTGGGATGAGTCAATTCTTGGCATTGGTTTGTAATAATCTTTAGAAAGCGGAAAATTTTAAAAATATTACGTTAGCTTTTCAAATGATCCACTTTCTAAAGAAGAGAGTGAACTCTAGAAAAGCTTATTTCCGTCATAGCTTTGTTTCATGGTTGAAGAAGCTTCATAGAAGCTGAACTTTGATAGTTGAACGGCTTATCGTACAATTTGCAGACGTCCGCCTCTTCATCGAGACAATGCGGAATCTGGAGACACTAAATGAAATCTCTGTTGAGGATTTTGTTAATTTCGTCCTTCCCCGTCTACCGGAACCTCTTGGACTTGAGTACCGAAACAGGCAACGACGAAACAGGCAACGACGATTGAATGTTTTCCCACGAGCCAATCCATTTCCCAATGGTCTTCCACCTCCAGCACTTCCGCCTCTTTTACGAAAAAATGCTAAACTCGGAATTTTTCCAGTGAAAGATGTACTGGAAATTCTTGAGGTGAGGTTGTAGAAGTATAAGTCTAAGTTAATCTACGTCTAAGTCTAAGCATATGCTAAATAATCAGCTAAATCTAGTGATGAGCAGCTAAGTCTAACTTTAAGACTAAAGCCTCCAACAGAGATAAAAATCAACTCTCAAATACCCAAATTCAGACTTTCGCAGTTCAATCAAGTGCCTTTATGAAGAAAAGGATTTACGCGTTGGAATTGGAGCCGAAAACGATTGAGACATTCAATGCGATTATCAGTGCAGTTCATGTAAAGAAATTCTCCAATAGATTGAAAAAATCTAGCTCACTTTTCAGTTCACCGGTAACCCGTAATATTACAATAACTACTGGGCATATTCAGAGCACTATCGATTAGATCGAGCTTTGCTTTTCCAGGTTCGTTTTTTGAGAAGACATGGATTCTATGATAAAAATAAAGATACAGTCATAGAGAAAAGTCTTTTAAGTTTTAGTAGCTTGGTTTTTAGAAGTTTGCTCTTTGTGACGTGATATCCATTCATAAAGATAATAAAGATGATAATAAAGATAATAGAGAATAGATTGTTTTACAGTCAAGGAGAAAAGTCTTTTAACATTAGTTTTTAGAAGTTTGCTCTTTGTATATCTTAGAAAAAATTCGACCAATTTGTCAACGGTTAAAAGACGGCTTTTTTAAAGGCTCAATTTTTGTTTTATTAAAAAGTTCATCTTTTTATCATGTTAAATAAGATAGAGATAATAAGTTCTTTAAATTTTTCAAACGTTTGCAAATTGATCGGATTTGGAACAAGACCAAGACAAAGAGCAAACTTCTAAAAACCAACGTTAAAAGACTTTTGTCCTCTAAAACAATCTATTAGCTGATGCATAAGTGTTTTTGTTCCTTTCGTCTGCCGTTTCAAGCGAACAAATGCACGAATTAAACTACCGTTGATTAAAAAAACCAATTATTTTTTGCAAAAATAACATTAAAACGGGTTTAAAAATATTTTTAAATATAAGGATTTTCTTGAGAGTATGAAGTCGGGTAGTCAAAAAGGGCTAACTCGATGATGCGGTTTGTATATTTTTACCTCTATGATGTTTTATAATGTGCCATAAATCGTGTTCGGCATAGTCCAAGAGAAGCCAAACTTTGCGCTCTTTTGTTAAAAAAACCCGTTGCAATCGGATGAGATTTGGGTGTCTAAAGTAAATCAATAAGAAGAGTTGGATATAAATTTGAATATTAAGAATTCCAAGTAGTTAACAAACTGACTTGAGTTCTCTTAACAAAGCGATCTCTCTGCAAGCGCTCATTGTGAATTGTTGATTCCCTTCGATCAACTTCAGATCATATTCCTGCAATTTTTATATAGTTAGATCAAAAAATTTTGTTTTAAATTTCAAAATCTAGACTTATTCAAGCCCAAGCACTTACTTTATTTGGGTACATTTTCATAGAAGCTGGGGATTTGGGTGTTGCTTTATACACATGTCCATAGGTACCTCGACCCACCTGAAAGGGCAGAAAGGCTTACAAAAAGGTCAAAACTGTGCCTAGTTGCTGTTTAGGATTAATCGCTTTTTAGATTCTTTATCACTTTTATCAAATAAACCTTTTATCAAATAAACCTCAAATAGATCCCTCGAAATTGAACAAATCCTCGACATGTTCCCTTCTCTGATTGAGCTCCTCTCTGAATGAGAAGTCGATCATTGTGCGATTATCGCCTATCACACGATTAAATTAGCTTTCTTATTAAATCATCACTAAAAGATTGAAGATTTACAAAATTATCTATACAATACCAGAAATAAAGGTGATGTTGAACAGAAGTTTGAGATCAAAAGGAGCATATCACTCTGGAATACTGTTTAGGGGTCAGTTCAACAAAACTGGAAACTTCAAAAGACTCAAAATCACTCTGGAATACTGTTTAGGGGGCAGTTCAACAAAACTGGAAACTTCAAAAGACTCAAAATCACTCTGGAATACTGTTTAGCGGTCAGTTCAACAAAACTCGAAACTTCAAAAGACTCAAAATCAAGTCAAAAGGCTTTTCCTAGATAAAATTTTATTATTTCTGTATTTAATCTAAATTATTTTTGTTCTTTCAACAATGATGTAAACAGGTAACAATCACAAAGTAAAAAGAAATCCAAGATTCCATCAAAAAGCTCTCAAAATTTTAATTTCAACTAATTAACTTACAAAATAAATCGAGATCTCGGAAAAAGATTCAAAGAAGGGGGAAGGAAGTGTGTGCAATGGAAAGGACACAAAGAAGGGAATGGAGAGGAAGAGAGGGGGAGAGAGGGAAGAGAGGGGGAAGAGAGGGGAAGAGAAGGGTAGAGAGGGGAAGAGAAGGGGAGAGAGGGGAAGAGAAGGGTAGAGAGGGGAAGAGAGGGGAAGGGAGGGGAAGGGAGGGGAAGAGAGGGGAAGGGAGGGGAAGAGAGGGGAAGGGAGGGGAAGAGAGGGGAAGGGATGGGAAGAGAGGGGAAGGGAGGGGAAGAGAGTGGAAGAGAAGGAAAGAGTTGGGAGAAAAGTGGAGAGGAAGGGCTTAGGGAAAGGGAAATAATAAGATAATTGGGGAGATTTTGAGAAAATGGAAAAAAATGAAGAGAATTAGGGAAGACTTAGAGAAGTGGAGACAACGGGCAACGCGCCAACCCTCGCTCGACTCTCAAGTAGCGATCAGCTGCGAACAAGAAGGAAAGAATGGAAAAGAAACAAAAAGAGTTCGTTGACTTGTCTTTTCCTTTCTTTTCTTTTCTTCTTTTCTTTGTCTCTTGCTTGTGCAAAGTCGTGGAACGCACTTCGACCGTTCGAAATGGGACTTTGTCGTTACGCAAGGAAAAAGGAAGTTTGAGACCATGAAAGGTTAAAAAGTCAGTCAAAACTTTTGTTTATAATAAGAAAATGAAATTTAATTCAAATTTCAAACAACCAAACATCGTAATGAGAACCAGTGAAATGAAAGAGAGAAAAAAGACAATGTTCTAAAACTAGATACGATTTAAAAAAATTGATACAGACTACCGTAAATACTGTAATTGGACCCCACCCCCATAATGACGGTGCGGAGCGTTGCGTAGTCTAGATTTGGGCGCGTTTTTCTCAACACTGGTTTATGCTACAATGCGCGCTTAGATATCAAAAAATAGCTGAAATTCAGGGCTATTATTTGATACCAAAGATAGCCCATTGACAGTACAAGCGCTTTGAAAAAAATGAAATACTAAAAAGTTTTTGCGACTACGCGACGAGGGGGTACTATTATAGTCTAGCTTTGAACGAGTTTTTCTCAATACTGGTTGATGCTACAATGCGAACTTAGGTATCAAAAAATAGCCCTGAATTTCAGCTATTTTTTGATACCAAAGACGCATTTTTTGAAAGTACAGGCGCCTTGAAAAAAATAAAATACTAAAAAACTTTTGCGACTACGCGGCTGTATGAGGGGTACTATTACAGTATTTACGGTAAGTATAAAATTGAATAAAAATGAAGAAATAGGGATATCAGAATATTATGCCAAAAGAAATTGGATAAGCCAAAATTCATCATTGAAAGCTATTTGCTTGAATCTTTCTAGCATCATTTAACGATCTGGGATTAAAACTCAGCTTTCCCCTATTTCTTGGATCTTTCTACTGTAATCATCGATCAAGAAAAGCCAAGATTAGTCATTAAAAGTAATTTTATGAAACTTTCTACCGTAAACCTTATCGATCAGTTTCTATTTTGCACTATCCGCTTTTGTTATTCAAAATTGTTATTCAAAAACCGTTTCTAGGGCCTCCAAGAAAATCACAAATTTTGGATCACTGAAAGGAAGAAAAAACCGTTTAACGGAAATACGAAAGCCCAACTACCGGTGAATGAAAATATGTCTATAACAATAACAAGACAAATAGTATTACTGTAACTTATTGAGGTCCATAGTGTTGACCCCATTGCGATGGGGCATCATGTATTGACCATGAGATGGGTTCATCATTGGTTGGCCTGTAATCATATCTTTGTAAATAAACTTTAGTTGCAAGAAGAGTTCAATAACAAGTCGAAAGTTTTCTTGAGTCGATTACGCTCATTCCAACAACACAAGGACAGCTAATTCGATAAGGTTAAAGCTTTTTACAGGATCCAAGCAAAAAAACAATAAATCGATGATTTTCCGAAGCTATTTACAATTTCTCTGATTTGCATGTTTGATTTGATAATGTTTGTTTATTTTCCAGTTTCTCGCATATCGTTGCTTCGACGCTCACAAGATGGCTTCCTACAAGGAACTCTTCACGCATCCCCCTCTTGCTCATCCCGCCAGCGAGCGACCAGCCGAATTTCTTGCCGTTTCTGTTCCGGACAAGAAGAAAAGAAAGAAAATCACGAAGCAGCCGGTAAGCTCTTATTTACAGGGTGCGGCAGAATTATAGGTGCAGAGAAGTTCCATTGGAATATGACCAAAAAACGAAAAATTTGCCACAAAAACAGTTTTAACATATTTATTGAACCTAAATTAACAACTTTTATTGATCATATTCGAATCTTCCTCCTTTGGCGTCGATGCAATACTTGAGTCGCTTGGGAAAGGCGTCGATCGTGGCGACCAAGTAGGCGGCGTGCAGACCCTCCCAGGTTTTCAAGAGAGATTTCTTCAAACTTTCGAGGTTTTTGTGAGGTTTCTGACAGGCCTCGGCTTCAAGAACAGACCAGACCGAGAAATCCAATGGATTGAGGTCTGGGGAGCTTGGGGGCCACTCATTGAATGCAATGAAGTCGGGAAAAGTCGCTTTGCAGAAATCCTGAACAATCTTGGCTTTGTGAGCGGGAGCACCATCTTGCTGGAAGGTCCAGATGCGATTTTGGAAGTGATTTTGAGCCCAGGGAACAAGTTCTTTCTTTAGCATATCCAAGTACGTGTTCGCATTAACTTTGACTCCTTGTGGCACAAAAATCAGTGGTGTCTTGCCGGAAGCCGTCACACCGCCAAAAACCATGACTGAAGCTGGGTGGCCGCTGCGACCGTCCGGTAACATTCGGTTGAGCTTTCGACCAAACTCGATCTTTCTGCTTGTTCAGAATTCCTTCAATCGTAAAAATTTTCTCATCGGTGAACAAAATGTTCCTGTGGTCGATTCCGTTGAAACGAAGACGAAGGTTTTCACATCGATCTTTTCTCTTCAATTTGGCGTCTGCCGCAAGCAGAGCGGATTTGTTCTTCTTGTAGGGCTTGTCCTTGATAATTCGACGGATTGATCGATCGGATACACCCATATGTTTGGCAATTCTTCGAGCGGACTGATTGGGCTTCTTTCGCAGGCGATTTCTGACCTTCTTGATGTTGCCTTTCGTCACCACAGATGGACAAACACCTCCTCGCGGCCGATCAGACATTGATCCCAACTCGTTGTAGCGTTGAATGGCTCGGTTAACAGCGTTTCGATGCACTCCCAACTTTCTTCCGATCACGGTCTTCCGATGAAGTTCCACGATCAATTGTCGATGCGGGGAAGCGCGAACCATAGCCTGAAACTCAAAGTTATAAAAAAATTATAATTTACAAATACAAATTCAATCATAAAATAACAACAAAAACATAAATTCGAGCGCAAAATCAAGAGCGAAGGCTCGTTTTCCGTCTTTATGTCATGCACCTATAATTCTGCCGCACCCTGTACTTTCCCCTTTTTATCCTAGATAACGTTCCAGCTAAGGCTTAGGTCTTGTAAGCCAGGCTAGGCCAGTTCTAAGTCCAAGCCATTTTTTCAAAATCCAAATCAAAAGCCCAATCCATCTAGTTTTTGTGTAGGATTCGTTTCAAATTTAAAACCGATTTTTCCTAACTTAACAACTTTCCATATTTCCTGCACATACCTTGACTCATATTCATCATCTGTTGCTGTGCCATTATATGCTGATTGTGTGGAGGCATCATTGGAGCGCCTAAAATTTTCTATAAAATGATAAAACAATTGGAAATATTGTAAAATATTGTAAAATTCCGAAAAATTGTGTAAAATACCCAAAAATTTGTTTTGAAAAGCTAAACATATTGCTAAATTGCTAACGAAAAAAAAGAAAAGCGAAACCGAAAAAAAGATAATGCTTTATAAGGTGAGCATTCGCTCATTTACCATAATAATTCGGCAAATAGGCTAAAGATGAATGTTTAAGTGAAACTATGAAAGTGATTTACTTATTGGTTGTGATTGCATGGGTTGTTGATAGGGTGGAGGACGGGGAGCTGAATACATTGGAGGCATCGGCTGTTGATGGAGGCCAACATTTACTGAGCCTGAGGTCATCACATCTGAAAGGTTTCTTTTAAAGTTTAGCTTTTTGTTTGTTTCCTAACACTATGCAATCAACTGATTTGCGTGTAAAAAGCTAGAGTTAACTGGGAATATCTCAGAAAGACAATGGCTATGAATGCTGATCTATCAGTAACTCCATCATCCTTAAAAGACTTATATAACTATATGCACAGCTTCATCAGCTGCTGTACGTGTTTAATAACGATTATTCAAGATTCTAAATGTCTGACAAATTGCTGAACAAAGCTGAGTACTGAGCGACAATCTATAGATAAAGCATCGACTCTCTATAATGGAATGGAAAGGACCAAAAAATGTTTCCGTTATATAGAGTGCTGTTATATATAGCTTATATATGTATATGATTGGTGGAAGGGTGGGAAGCGTGGGCATCGAGACTCCCAATAGACTCTTCAGCTGAAGCTCCACTAGAGACACCGATCACTCGAGCCCACAATGGAGTGGACAAGAGGGTGAGGAAGAGTGCGAAGGGGAAAGACATTGTCTGGACAATAATAAGAACAAACTACAGTCAACTCTCTATAACGGAATAGGGAAGGGGCCAAAAATGTTTCCGTTATATAGAGTGCTGTTATAAATAGCTTAGTATTGATCAATCTATAGATATCAATAACTAACCCGATGTTGCAGCCACAGTATTCATGAGCAGACGCGCCAGTTGATTGATTGATTGTAGCAGCTTGAAGACGCATTCTTTTCGAATTCGGTTCCGAGCTTGTTTCAACAGCTGATTGATTCGCGAGTTGGGCCTGTTTTTTGAAAAAATTTTAACCAAATTTGCCAATAATCTACCTGATTTTGCACTTCACGCTTCTTATCCTCATCACCATCAGTCAAGAATTCCCGTTTCGGATACGGGATGTTGTAGCCCCTGAACACGTCCTCGGTGGGTCTAGGGTCTTGCTAAAATGTGTAAATAATTCAAAAATTTGTCCGCAAATTTATCAATAAGCCAATTCTAATCATTTTAGACATTTTAGAGAGCATAAAACTGCAGAACTGACCCGAAAATACTCGTCCTCCATCGCTTCTTGCAGCTCACTCTCTTCTCGGGATCCATCGTCAACAAACGGCAGAGTAGCCTAGAAATTTTATAGTTATTCTGGATAATTGATCTTTTATCTATCATTTATCTTATTAATTTATAAACCAGCCGATTTATATAGCTAGATGTTTTCAGGTTGAGGTGCGCGTAGTCGCCTCGGCGCAGTCAGGAGCGCGCTTTTCTACGGGCTACACGAGGCGAGTTTGACCGAGTTTGACCGGCGAGTTTGATTTTATAGTTGTTCTAGATAATTGATATTTTACCTATCATTTATCTTATTAACTTATAAACAACCAATCAATGTATATGGCTAGATGTTTTTGGGCTCCTGACTGCGCGCTCCTGACTGTCGGCGCAGTCAGAAGCGCGCTTGTCTACGGACTACACGAGTCGGCTTCGTTCCCCTCGTGCTACTCAACGAGACTTTTTAATTTTTAAATTTAAATGAGATAACTATAACAGATTCCAAGATTTTCTAAAGAAATTTTAGCTTTATTGGTCAAAACAGGGCCGAAAATAATGCCTGTAAAAACAGAAATGCTCATTTAAATTTAGTAGATGATTCATTTACCCCGATTTACTGACTCTTTCCATTCGAAAGAAAAGAAGATAGTTGAAGAGGGAAGTTAATAATCTTTTTAGAAAAATCTTTTTAATAAAATTAAACTTCTCCTTTTTCTTTTTAATCTGGTGTTTGGTTTCTCTTTAATCCGCCATCGCTTTCTTTTTGTCCTACAAAAAATTCTTAAGATTGTTTAGCTTTTTTTTTTTTACTGTTATTTTATTCTTTTTTTTTTTTTTTTACTTTCCTTCAACCTGTTTGTTTTCTTGTGTTGCTCTGCGCCTTGTCCTCTTAAAAAAGAATAAAGGCTATGCGGGTTCCCTAATCTTCATTCCTTAAACTTGTTTGTTCTCTTTTTTTCACTTTTGTATAATGCTTGGCGCCAAGTAGCAACTCGGGAGCTCGATACCAAAATGTGACCACAACTGGGTCCAAGTCAGCTAGCGGTTTCAATGGGTTGTGGAAAACTCTCGCGAAACCCATATCGGCGATTTTGACCCTGAAAATGGAAAATTGGTAAAGAGATCTGGATTTGACTATAGAATAGACTACTTCTGCAGTTGGTCCTGTTTCTAGCTCTAAATTGCAAGCCAAGACAAGTGAAGCCAAACCAAGGATGATAAAGCATTCTTGTGCATATTGTTGAATAGATTTTAGATATATCAAACGTCAAGCAACACTTGACTTCAGATTCATCTTTGCAACTGATCACTCCAAATCCCACCTTCCCCTTTGTACACCCGGTCCTTCGCCCATCACAAGAATATTCGCCGGTTTAAGATCTCTGTGCAATATCCAATTCTGATGCAAGTAGTGAATTCCCTCCAATATTTGATACAACACGGATTTGACCATTCCTCGTGGCACAAGGACTGGTTGCTTTTGGCCTTAGCACCTGGAAATGGTTTATGGTAAACTTTAAGTCATGGAAGGTGTGGAAGTTCTTGAAGATTTTGTCGTTCAAGATCTTAATTCGTTTACTTACCCCGGTGATATTTGATGATATGCCATAAATCGTGTTCTGCGTAGTCAAGGAGTAGCCATACTTTCTTCTCGTTTGTCAGAAAAACCCGTTGCAATCGGATAAGATTTGGATGTCTGAAGGATTATATTTGAGTTGTAAATTAGATGATCATTGATAGAAGCAATAAAATCTAATAACAGTCTTACTTGAGTTCTCTCAACAATGCGATTTCTCTGCAAGCACTCGTCGAGAAGCCATTCCCTTCAATCAATTTCAGCGCGTATTCTTTCTTCGGATATCGTTCGTTTTGCGTCTTTGGGATCGCTTTGAAAACGAGTCCATACGTGCCACGGCCAACCTGGAAAAATTATATAATTTTGATTGCATTGAATATAAAAATGAATTGTACAATACCTAACTTATAAACCGAATGGAGTAAGCTTCGTGAAACTTGTTGTCAAGTCAAAGGACTTTAGATTTCTTAAACTTCTAAACAATAATTTATAGGGACAATCTACAGCTCCAAGCAGTAATTTTGATTATATTGAATCATTTGCAAACGAATCGGAAAATATCTAATTTATAAAGCGTACAAGCTTCGTGAAATTGTTGTCAAGATATCGTAA